TTATGCATAATAACGTATTTCGGATATTAGCTGTAACATATATACATATTTGCCTTTTTGGGTAATTAATTTGTCCTGTAATTGGAGTTCATTCTGTTGGACAAATCAAGGGTATTATTATTATTATTATTATTATTATTAATATTATTATTGAAATTAAAAAAATATATATCTTACCCACCTATCTTTTGCAGTTTATTTAAGGTGATGTATTCAGTTTTGGAATTCTTGATTTAATCTATAAAATAAATACTCACTTATTAATTTTTTTGAGACACCCTGTATAAGCAAATCTAAAAAATATTAAAGCACTAATAAATAACAAGTACTGACTCATTAATTCTTTAGGGGGGGATGATCAAAATGTATTTACAGTTACCTGTAAAACATCTCCAAGATTTCAAATCGTTCTGTTTTGTAGTTCCTGATTAAATCAATTAAATAAATTTACCCATGCATTAATTTTTTTGAGTCACTCTGTATATGCAAATCCAAAAAATATGAATTACAAATACAGACTAATTATATTTTGTACATAGGATTTATTAAGCAAAATTTTGGGATGACGTCATTAATTGTTTAGTGGGGTTGAGCCCATATATTTTGATAAAAAATTTCCCATGCTTATGATAACTTTATGATCACCTTAAAAAATCTCCAAGATTTCAAAGCATTTGGTCTTGTAGTTTCTGATTTAATCAATCGGGAAGTAAAACTTGAAAAATCGAGATACTGAAAAATCCCAAATAGAAAAACTCGGAAATCGAAAAACTGAAAAATCGAGAAAAGGGAACATACAAAGATCGAAAATTGGAAAATTGAGTCGTAGAACCGACAAACCGAAGCGCATAAAATCTAAAAATCAAAAAATTGAAAATCAAATCGTAAATCGAAGAACTGAATAATCGAAAAATTTAAAAAACCGAACATAATTAAAATTAAAAAATCAAGTGAAAAAACAGAAATTGAAAAATCGAGTAATTTAAAATCTAAAATTTAAAAAATCGAAAGTCGAATAACCGAGAAATCAGGTAACCGAAAAATTGAAAAATCGAGAAATCGAAGCATCGAAACATAAAAAAACAGAAACAGCCAAAAATCCAAAAGCGAAAAAAGAAATTAAAAAAGTTAGAAAGTTAAAAAAAATTGAAACATTGAAAGATTAAAAATTAAAAAAAACCAAACATCGAAACGTCAAAAAATCGACAAATTAAAAAGTTTTCAAAATTGATCAATTGAAAAATTGAAGAATGTAGAATTTAAAAAATCGAAAAATGGAAAAATCGAGAAATTGATTCGAAACTGGAATGTTGAAAAACTGGGAAATTGAAGACTTAATTAAGAAATTAAAAAATCGATAAATTGAAAATCTAGAGGTTATGAAAATTTTAAAAATCAAAAAATTAAGTAAGTAATGTTCTAAAATGTCATCAAATTTTCATTTTTTTGTCTAACAGTCTGAATATCTAGGATAAAAATTCAAATCGGATTCATAAATCAAAAGCTTTTATACAATTTAATAACACTTATCTACTATTTGAAGATGACGTTATCTCACATGATATTCAATATATAGACAAGACTTAACAACAATCGGTCTGATAATATCGGATATTACCTGTGAGACAAATGCTCAAAAAAAAAAAAAAAATTAAAATAGCCAGTTCCCTCGTGAACTCGATTACAATATATACTTCCTCAGCTTGCGTTCGGGAAGTAAAAATTACAAAAATATATACCTAGTTGTAACGTGTTGCATAATCTTGATATTTTAACGAATTTACTGCCAATATGAAACAAAAATCGAGAAATCTAAAAATCAAAAAAATTGTGAAGTCGAAAACCTGAAGAATCTCAAATTAAAAAATTGAAAAAGTGGAAAAACTAAAGTGTCAAAATAAAATAATTAAAAGCCCAAAAATCCAGAAATCGAAAAATCTACAATTCAAAAATTCAAAAATCTAGGTGAAAAACTGAAAAATCGAGAAACTGAAAATGTCAAAACGAAAATGACAAAAAATTGGGAACCGAAAATTTGAGAAATCGAGAAACTGACACATCGAAAGGTTGAAAAATCGAAAAACTGACGAGATATCGAGAAAAATCGAGAAATCAAAACCGTGGATAATGAAAAATTAAAAAATAAAAAAACTGAACAATTCATTGAGGAAGGACGACGATTCTACTCCATGGAGAAATTGAAAAATTACAAAATTGTAAGGAGAGTGGGCATGGAGAGGGAAGAACATTGAACAGGTGAAAAAATGCCAGTACTTAAGATATACATTAAAGAGCAATAACTCAGATAGAGCGCATATTCAAGAAATGGTCCAAAGAGCGAACAAAGTGATAGGAGGAATAGGAGAAGAGAAAATTTGGACATGATTATAAGAGAAGAATGATGATGTTTGATAGTTTGATCAAAAGTGTATTTATGTACGGAGCAGAGATTTGGGGACGGAGGGAATATGAAGAAATAGAGAGAGTGCAAGAAAAATACTTGAAATGAACATTGGGATTGGAAAAGTATACGCCGGGGTATATAGTGAGAGAAGAAACAAAAGGGGAGAAAATGAGAGTGGAAGCGGGTAAAAGGGCGGTTGGATTTGAAGAGAAGTTCAGTGAGAGAGGTGATTGCAAGATATTGCAAGAATGTAGGAAAGAAATAAGAAAGGAAGGGGGAAAACATGTTTGGAACGAAAGGGACAATGAAATATAGAGAGAATGAGAGAAATTGGAAGGAATATGAAAGAAGAACTGAGTGTAAGAGATAAGGATATAGATAAACAAGAACGTAGATCGAGAATATCGGAGTCTAGATATAATGCAGACTATAGAAAAATAGTAAAGGATGAAGTACCAAAGTACACACACAGAGAGAGGGAGTATAAAGGAGAAAAGAATGATGGCGAGATTTAGGTGTGGAAATGAAGAGAAAGAGAATAATTTTTGGATGGATGAAACTGACAGAAGGTGTAGGATATGTTGGAGAGAGGGAGAAACAATAGAGCATATGCTGGAAGGATGTGAAGGATTGAGAGAATCGGAGGAAAGTAGGGAAGAAGTGCTAAACGAGGATGGAAGAGGACTGGACTGGATGAAAGAAGTATGGAAGATAAGGGAACTATGGCAAGGGGTGGGCAAGCAGAAAGAATAGAATATTTATTATATAACACTCGAATTTTTATTTTATTTTATTTTATTTATTTTTATTGTTATTGATTTATCTGATGTAGATTAAGTTAATTTGTACCCCTACTGGGAATATTATTAAGCCTGTAAGGCAAATAATAAATTAATACTACTACAAAACTGTAAGGTCGAAAAGCTGGGAATCAAAAAATTAATCTAAGAATGAAAATATCCAGACAATGAAAAATTGACAAGAAATCGAGAAGTCGAGAAATGGAAACGGCGCAAAATCATAAAGTTGACAAATCGAGACATGGGAAAATCGAAAAATTGAAAAAATTGGGAAATTCAAACTGCAAAGCTGGAAAATTTAAAATTCAAAATCGAACCATGGAAAAACCGAATTAGATAAACTGAAAATTCGAAAAACCGAAATATCAAAAAATTAAGAAATCCAGACAATAAAAAAATTGAAACATTGAGAAATCCAAAATTCAATCAAAAATTTTAAAAATCGAAAAATAGAAAACTAGGAACTCGAAAAATCGAAATGTCAAAAAATCGAGAAATCAAACAATTTTCAAAATCAAAACATTGAAAAATCGAAACATTACAAAAACGAAAGCTTGAAAAATGTAGAATTTAAAAAATCAAAAAATTGAGGAGCTGAAAAATTTAAAATAAAAAAAAAACGATAAACTGAAAAATCGAAAAATTGTTCCAAAATTTAAATGTTGAAAAACTGAGAAAATGAAGACGAGTCTTGAGAACTTAATTAAGAAATTAAAAAAACTAAAAATCAAAAAGTTAAAAATTCGACAAATAGAAAAATCGCAAAACTGAAATATCAAAAATTGAAAAGTCCAAAAACCGACTAATTATACATATTATATTAACAAATCGAGAAATTAAAAAATTCAAAAATCAAAAAGTTTCAAAGTTACATTGTAAAATGGTGTCATAAAATTTTGTTTTTTTTTTTTCAAAAATATGGATGACTAGGGTAAAAATTCATATGTCATTTAATACGATTTAAATAACATTTATTTACTATTGTAAAATTTGGAGATGACGTCATTTCACACGACATTCCTAATAACTAATTCAGGAATTCTATACAATACCAGGGGCGTCTAGGGAATGTATGAAATATTACGACTATGATCGTCCATTACATACTTTGTGTCAGATATAATAAGGTATACAACTCCTACGGATTGTATAGAGTATATCTAGGGCACAGTATTTTCTAGGGACTCTTAACATTTACCACATAATCAGTTGACTACTTTCAATATGTACGTACAGTTCCTACACTACATTAGTACCTAATAAAATTTTATTGGTGTTTCAAGTTATAGTGAACCAAGAGCTATAAGATTATATGGCCATCATAAAAGTAGTTGACCGCAAATAAATACCCCCTTTGTGTGGTTCGCACTAAGCTTACCGGTTGGCAATAAATCATCTTCTAAACATTTCTTGCTCATATTTAACAGGGCCGGCTTTCAAAGCGAGTGGTTATTTCGGAAGAAATAGTGGAGTGGTGGATTTTCATATTTAGTGAAAGCCGCCCCTGAACGAAACCAGAAGAGCCGGTCGAGCTGCAGTGGACACGTTATTTACGACCCTAAAACCTTTTCTATTGTAAACAACTTAACTTCGACACAATGGGATTATTTTATAATGGCCATATAACCTTATAACTCTTGGTTCACTATAACCATGAAGGTTTGACCCACAAAACCATAAATCACAAATTCAATACAACCTTGGATGTTTTTAGCCCACTATACACGGGCTGCACGCTCCTTTTTTTGGCGTCATTATCCCCCTGCCAGTAATCCCCTGCATTGGCCGACAATCTCTCAACGTATCGGTTGTAAAATTCTACAGGGACTGATGTAGTGTTGGAACTTTACATCCTTAGCTTACGTTCGGGAAGTAAAAAACACAGGTAAAAATGGAAACAGTCGTGTATAACGTGTTGCTTAATCTGGATCTCTTTCTGTGTCTAAGGAATTTACCACCAACATGACATAACAAAAGTAGAAATTTACTACCAACATTTTGAGGTTATGTCGAAAACAATTTGATTTGTTTTTAATTTATTAATTTACGGGTACGTAATATAAGATTCGTTTTTATAATAATATTTTAACGTAACAATTTCAGACTAGTTGAAATGGAAGCTTTGAAATATTCCGTTGGTTGCATGGCAGACAAGAAGTGTTCCCTGGTAAAAGTCCACGATTGTAAAATTTGCCCATACGTTACAACATCGTTTTTTCTGATGATGAACCACATTCGCCGTCATCAGTCACCCTTGATATCTTTTACCTGTGAAAACCCCCTTGATTCTTACCATTGCAAAGACTGCGATTTTCAAACCGAACTAACGTTACTCTTCAAGCAACATATTAAAGACCGTCATGGAATTAAACAAGAAAACGACGACGATTTGATTGTGCAACACAACAATCAAAAGCACGTTTGTAGAAAGTGCGGCTTTGAGACGCATTTTTCGCTTAAATGGTTACGTCACATGAAAGAATGTAAGCGACGTTCTTATAAAACTACAGAAAAATCAGATTGGAAACAGCATATTCAGCGGCATCATGGAGATGAAAAAGACATCAATTGGTACCAATGTGAAAAGTGCGAATACAAAAACAAATATCGCCGGTCTTTATACAGACACGTAAAAAGGTGGCATCTAGACAAGTGGCTCCATTGCACTTTGTGTTCTTACAGGACCGTAGACAAATGTGATTTGAAAAAGCACATTAACAGACGACATGTTGTTGACTTTGACCCTAAATGGTACAAATGTGAACAGTGCTCATTTAGATATAAAAGCAAGATATATTTGACGAGACACGTGAACTTTTCTCATATGGACGAAAAAGACGCCAAATGGTACGAATGCCAACATTGTCCATACAAGACTAGTGATAGTTCGAACTTAACGAGACACGTGAAAAGGAAGCATTTTAATGGAAAAAGTATCACGTGGTATCAGTGCAACAAATGTTCATTTAAAACAAAACGCGAGGAGGGTTTACAGAAACACGTGGACGCGTCGCGTTTGAACGGACAATGTGAAAACGATGCCAAGTTGTTTCAATGCCATAATTGTCTATACAAGACGAGAAATCGTTCGAACTTCTGGAGACACGTGCAGTTGCAGCATTTGAATGAGGAAAGTGTCATGCAGTATCAGTGCAAGGAGTGTCAATTCAAAACCAAATATAGGGATTGTTTACGGAAACACATGAATGCGCGGCATTTGAGAGGGGAAGATGTCACGTGGTATCAGTGCAAGGAGTGTCCATTTAAATCAAAACACTTGGTGCTTTTACAGAAACACGTGAACTTTTGTCATTTGGACGAAAAGGATATCAAGTGGTACGAATGCCAACATTGTCCATACAAGGCTAAAGGTAGTTCGAACTTAATAAGACATATGAAAAGCAAGCATTTTAATGAGAAAAGTATCACGTGGTATCAGTGCAACAAGTGTTCATTTAAAACACATCTCGAGGGGACTTTACAGAAACACGTGGACGCGTCGCGTTTGAACGGACAATGTGAAAGCGATTCCAAGTTGTATGAATGCCATCAGTGTCCATACAAGACTGGAAATCGTCCGAACTTTAGGAGACACGTGAAGGCGCTGCATTTGAAGGAGGAAAGACTCATACGGTATCAGTGCAAGGAGTGTCCATTTAAAACCAAATATAAGGATAGTTTACAGAATCACGTGAAGGTGCGGCATTTGGACGGACACGGCCTTAAATGGTACAACTGTGACAAGTGCCAGTACAAAGCTCGGGTTCGCTCATATTTAAACAAACACATAAAGACGCGGCACTTGGACGAAGACCAAATCAAGTGGCACCAGTGCAATGAGTGCCCCTTCAGGAGCAAAGCAAAAAGAAATTTGAGAGTACACATTAAGGCACGACATCTGGACGATCAAAATGCGTAATGTTACAAATGCAAACAGTGCCCATTTAAAACTAGGTGTTACAAATCTCTAATCAAACACGCGAACGCTTATCATTTGGACGAAAAGGACCGCAGGTGGTACGAATGCCAACAGAGTGTCATACAAGTCTAGAGATCGTTCGAATTTAAAGAGGCACGTGAGAACCCATCATTTGAATGGGAAGAGTATTAGTACATGAACTGTCCACTTAAAACAAAACGAACAAACAAAAATATGAGGTGACGCAACATGCAGTAAAGTAACGCTTAGATGCAAATGATATACTACTTTCAAAATTAACAACAAAAGTAATTTGAAAAACCATGTGCGTAATCCGAATTTTACATGTAGTAGTTCAGTTTGTTTTTGTAATGTTCTTTATTAAAATATATATAAACCACCCTAAAAAACTTAGGGATATTTAAATTTATTCATTTTAATAATAATGAAAAAACTTTCAGAGTTTAAATAATATATTCGTAGTCACTGCTACACGTGTTTCGGTACACAGTACCGAATAGCTCTGTAAAAAACTGGGGTTTTTACAGAGCTATTCCTGAATTTATACCTGATTTAACAAGTGTTTAAAAATTTATGTTAAGTAAGGGAGATTTGTTTATTTCGGTTTGGTCGTTCATTAGTGTATTTAACCTATTGTACCTATTTATTTCTAGACATTCTAACGCGTTTAATTTTGCGCCTTTATTTTCTATGTGTTAATTAAAGAAACCAATCAGTATAACATTATAACTCATTTTGGAAAACTTTCTATTAGAGCTGCAAAAATACTGCAAAATGCAGGCTATAAAATTTCCTTCCGTACCAACAATTCTTTACATAAATTAATAAACAATAGTAAAGACAAGTCACCTAAGAAATCGAATTCTGGAGTTTACATGCTAAGTTGTAGTGACTGCCCCTTAGTATACATCGGACAAACAGGGAGAAAATTTGAGGAAAGGATAAAAGAACATAAATCAGCATTTGTCAATAAAAAATCAAATTCTACGTACGCGAACCACCTTATCCAAGAACAGCATAATTTCAACGACGAATTCAAAATTTTACACATAGAAAATAAAGGCGCAAAATTAAACGCGTTAGAATGTCTAGAAATAAATAGGTACAATAGATTAAATACACTAATGAACGACCAAACTGAAATAAACATATCTCCCTTACTTAACATAAATTTGTAAACACTATTGTTAAATCAGGTATAAATTCAGGAATAGCTCTGTAAAAACCCCAGTTTCTCTTCTGCCTGAAGACGGTACTGTGTACCGAAACACGTGTAGCAGTGACTACAAATATATTATTTAAACTCTGAAAGTTTTTTCATTATTATTAAAATTAATATGGAGTTTAAACACGTATCAGCCTCATCAATACAAACATTAAATTTATTCAGCTTAAGCCTATTTCGAAATCCGCCAGTGTATTTTTTGAAGACATTTTTGATTTGTAAATTGTTGTTTATAATTTGGAGTAAGTGCTCATTATACTGATGTTAAGGGTGCCCAGTAGCAGACCGAAAAATGAGCTAAATAGAATTTCATTTTACGGGCGTAATTTCAACTTTGAAAAAAAGATCGACATGTCAATTGATAGATTATGTCTAAATCTCTGGGGAAGACATAATATTTTCTAAAATAAGTGATTGTTTAGTGTTTAATTAATCGTTCATTCTTCGAAGGAAATTGCATTTTTAGACGAGGAGAGAGCATTTTTTGCTTCAACTTTTATATCAGTGCAAAGACAACATTGAGCTCTATGGGGAAGACCCGGTCATTTTTTTTTTTAATTTATATTTATCAAAATATTTGCTTTTTAAAAGAATACTGAATAATGAAAATAAAGTGAAACTAGGCAACCCTATTTACAAAGATCCGTTTCAATAAATGGCCGTGTTTTACACAGCAGGGAGCCTTGCCGACCGACCCTTCCAGGTAATCAGTTCAGGTATTTTAGGTCATTAAACTCATAAATACTCTTAGCTGACCAACACTGTTGAAATTCTTTTACGTCGACTTCTTTCATTGCTGAGATAATTTGATTTAAAAGTATGCAAATTTTTATAATTTTATACATTCTACTAAAATATTTTCTTTCAAAAAATTATTCAAATATTTTTTATTAATCTGTCATTTTATTAATCAATACACAAAACTGACAAGATTTAGATTCTCATCACTTCACTAATCACTTATTTACCTGAACAATCATATTTATTTAAATTTAATTTTTTGATACTCTTTTCCGCACCACCTATGAGGTAGAGTATTATAGGCACGTTTTTTACGTGATATCACCAGTAAACCTATTCCAATATTACTATTTATTTCTGTGTGTGTTTATACTAGAAGGGCAAAAGATTTATATGAACTACACATGACGCGAATGCAAATAAAAAATGTTAATTGTACAATTTTTTCTTTACAATTTGTCTAATGGGTTGACTTGTTTAATAACGAGAATCTACTCTCTCCAGAAGTAAGGTATATAAATAAAATTTTTCTAGGGCTATATCATATTATTTTTCCAAAATTTATCATCTCGTAGAATTAAGCATTATTTAAATTGGACATTTTATATATTTTTACGATAGCGTTTTTGTTTACTAAGCCGTCTGGCGATGCCGCTAAAAATGTACAAACCGCATTGTCTTATTGTCAGTTTGCTGTTACTGCAAAATGCTTCAGTTGCCCTTGCTTCATTTTCTTTGCAAAGATTTTGGGAGAGTATACATGCTGAACTAGATTTGCAGGGATGTAAAATGTTTTTCACAGTACAGTAGGATTAGCCGTGTTACTTGTTCTCTCATTTTGCAAATTTTACCAAAATAACGTTCGGTTAGTCTAAAGGATTTTTCTGCGCACCATTCTTGATTATTGCGTTCGTCAATTGTGTTTTGTTCGATTAAAAATACATCGTTTGAAAGTTTTTTGAGAAATACTTTTTGCGCTGTGACATATCAGGTATTTTAACTGCCTCGTTAGATACATCGTCACCCGAGAATTTATATGATCCACAGACCGGAGCGCGCTCAGGCCAATGTCGACTCTACAAGCCTCCAGAAATTCTACGGGAAATAGTTATTATTTAGGTGCTTTTGTTTACACACATCTCACATGTTTCACTGGATTTTGACACTATTTTTTTGTTTAACTAAGAATCAATACTTTCATTGCGTTTGATACTAACGTCCTAAATTAGCAATACTAGTGGAACAGTAATCATGCAATAGATTTTTTTGGGAAAGTACAGTTATTTTTATGTTTTAGCAGCAATGTGTTCTACTTTCTATTAATTTTTACATATTTTTAGTCACAATTTTGGTAGTTATTTTTCACTTTTATTTTTAGCAATAATAAATAGTCCAAACATGAAAAAATAAAAAAACCATTAAAATTGGAAAATCGAAACATCGAAAAACTGGAAAATCGAAAAATTAAAAAAAATGGAAAAATTGAGAAACTGAAATAGAAGAATTGAAAACTCGAGAAATCGAAAAATCTATAATTTTAAAAATTGAAAAATTAAAATATCGAAAAGTTGAAAAATTGCGAAATCGTATCGTTGAAACATCGGACACCTGAAAAATCCAAAAATAAAAAAATGGAGAAATCGAAAATTTGAAGAATGGAAAAATTGAAAATGTCAAAAATTAAAATACTGAAAAATTGAAACATCAAAAGTTGAAAAATCGAAAAACCAAAAAGCCGAAAAATCTCAATAATGTATTTATAAACCATAAGTTCAGGATTATGCTACTAAAAAATTGATAACGTCTTCTGAAAATTTTGCCGAATAAATTCTACAAAAAAATGTGCAAAATATGATGAATTTTTACTTGTAATTTATCATTGCATTCATATTTTTTAGATTTGCTTACACACCTAGGTGGCTCAAAAAAATTAATGAATGAGTCAATTTAATCTATTGATTAAATCAGGAACGACTCACTCCATTTTCCCAGAAATTTTGGGAATAGTGTTATTTCTAATCTAATCCACATTGATTTACGTGTCCTTGCAAAATGTTGATGATTTCATAAAAAAATTGTGTACGTAAAGTAATTTTAGGTGCGAGGGAAGTTCTGTCGAAACAACTTTCCACCAATTTTTTTTTGCTGTTATATTTGAACATAAACAGTTTATTTTATATATTTTTAAAACATTATAAAGAAAATAAAAAGTTGTATTAGATTGAACCTTGTGGGTTTCTCAATCTATTTTCCGCAGCATTTTAAACTTTCAACTCAATTTCTTTCAAAATACATACAAATGGATTTCGATGGTTATTTCCCTGTACCCTTCATTTGAAAATAAATAAGCTTATCTGATGTTGTTTACCGATTTGCATTTTATGACGAACTCCCTACAGTGACCATCATCTCTCGTGTTTTTGGGTCGGTACCTGCGGTGGATCGGTACTTTGGGTTGCATAGTAACAAAAAATAATTCTTCTCACTGAAACCGATTTTGCGGGCGACGACTGGGGACCCTTAAGTTGTTCTTATACATGTATATACATATTTTGATTTTTTGGGTAATTAATTTGTCCTGTAATTGGAGTTCATTCTGTTGGACAAATCAAGGGTATTATTATTATTGAAATTAAAAAAATATATATCTTACCCACCTATCTTTTACAGTTTATTTAAGGTGATGTATTCAGTTTTGGAATTCTTGATTTAATCAATAAAATAAATACTCACTCATTAATTTTTTTGAGACAACCTGTATAAGCAAATCTAAAAAATATTAATGCACTAATAAATAACATTAATTCTTTAGGGGGGATGATCAAATACATTTTGTTCAAAAATTTACCATGCCTATGGTAACTGGAAAACATCTCCAAGATTTCAAATCGTTCTGTTTTGTAGTTCCTGATTAAATCAATTAAATAAATTCACCCATGCATTAATTTTTTTTGAGTTACTCTGTATATGCAAATCCAAAAAATATTAATTACAAATACAGACTAATCATATTTTGTACATAGGATTTATTAAGCAAAATTTTGGGATGACGTCATTAATTTTTTAGTGGGGATGAGCCCATATATTTTGAGAAAAAATTTTCCATGCTTATGATAACTTTATGATCACCTTAAAACATCTCCAAGATTTCAAAGCATTTGATTTTGTAGTTTCTGATTTAATCAATCGGGAATTAAAAATTGAAAAATCGAGATACTTACTAAAAAATCCCAACACTGAAATGTCGAAAAACTCGGAAATCGAAAAACTGAAAAATCGAGAAAAGGGAACATAACAAACATCGAAAATTGGAAAATTGACAAGAAATTGATAAGTCGTAGAAACGACAAATCGAAACGTGTAAAATTCAAAAATCAAAAAATTGAAAATCAAATCGTAAATCGAAGAACTGAATAATCCAAAAATCTAAAATTTAAAAAACCGAAAAAATTTAAAATAAAAAAAATCAAGTGTAAAACAAAAAATTGAGAAAGTCAAAAAACCGAGAAACGAGGTAATCGAAAAATTGAAAAATCGAGAAATCGAAGCATCGAAACATAAAAAAACAGAAACAGCCCAAAATCCAAAAGCGAAAAATTGTAGAATAAGAAATTAAAAAAGTTGAAAATTAAAAAAAATCGAAACATTTAAAGATCAAAAATTTAAAAAAACGAAACATCGAAACGTCAAAAAATCGACAAATCAAAAAGTTTTCAAAACTGATCAATTGAAAAATTGAAGAATGTAGAACTTAAAAAATCGAAAATTGGAAAAATCGAGAAATTGATTCGAAACTGGAATGTTGAAAAACTGAGAAATTGAAGACTTAATTAAGAAATTAAAAAATCGATAAATTGAAATTCTAAATGTCAAGAAAATTTTGAAAATCAAAAAATTTGGAAGTAATGTACTAAAATGTCATAAAATTCTCATTTTTTTTTGTCTAAAAGTCGGAATGTCTAGGATAAAAATTCAAATCGGATTCATAAACCAAAAGCTTTTATACAATTTAATAACACTTATGTACTTTTTGAAGATGACGTTCCACACGACATTCAATATATAGACAAGACTTAACAACAATCGGTCTGATAATTTCGGATATTACCTGCGGGCAGATAGTTAAACAGACGAAAACAAGAGACAAATGCTCAAAAAGAACAAAATGAAAATAGCCAGTTCCCTCGTGAACTTGATTACAATATATACTTCATCAGCTTGCGTTCGGGAACTAAAAATTACAAAAATATATAGTTATAACGTGTTGCATAATCTTGATATTTTAACGAATTTACTGCCAATATGAAACAAAAATCAACAAATCTAAAAATCAAAAAAATGGTGAAGTCGAAAAACTGAAGAATCCCAAATTAAAAAATTGAAAAATTGGAAAAACTAAAATTTCAAAATAAAAAATTAAAAGTCCAAAAATCCAGAAATCGAACAATCTACAAATCAAAAAATCAAAATCTAGGTGAAAAACTGAAAAATGGAGAAACTAAAAATGTCAAAACGGAAATGACAAAAAATTGGGAACCCAAAATTTGAGAAATCTAGAAACTGAAACATCGAAAGGTTGAAAAATCGAAAAACTGACGAGATATCGAGAAAAATCGAGAAATCAAAACCGTGCATAATGAAAAATTAAAAAATCAAAAAACTGAACAATTCATTGAGGAAGGACGACAATTCTACTCCATGGAGAAATTGAAAAATTACAAAACTGAAAGGTCGAGAAGTTGGGAAATCAAAAATAGAAAAACCGAGAAACCTAAATGAAAAATTAAGAATGAAAATATGCAGACAATGAAAAATTGACAAGAAATCGAGAAGTCGAGAAATGGAAACGGCGCAAAATCATAAAGTTGACAAATCGAGATATGGAAAAATCGAAAAAATTAAAACTCGAAGAACCGAGAAATCGGGAAATCGAAAAATTGAAAAATTGGGAAATTAAAATTGCAAAGCTGCAAAATTTAAAATTCAAAATCGAACCATGGAAAAACGGAATTAGATAAACTGAAAATTCGAAAAACCGAAATGTCAAAAAATTAAGAAATCCAGACAATACAAAAAATTGAAAAATCGAAACATTACAAAAACGAAGGCTTGAAAAATGTAGAATTTAAAAAACCAAAAAATTGAGGAACTGAAAAATCTAAAATTAAAAAAAAAAAACGATAAACTGAAAAATCGAAAAATTGTTCCAAAGTTTAAATGTTGAAAAACTGAGAAAACGAAGACGAGTCTTGAGGATTTAATTAAGAAATTAAAAAATCTAAAAATCAAAAAGTTAAAAATTCGAAAAATAGAAAAATCGCAAAACTGAAATATCGAAAATTGAAAAGCTCAAAAACCGACTAATTATATTATACTAAAAAATCGAAAAATCAAAAAATTCAAAAATCATAAAGTTTCAAAGTTACATTGTAAAATGGTGTCATAAAATTTTGTTTTTTTTTTCAAAAATATGGATGACTAGGGTAAAAATTCATATGTCATTTAATACAATTTAAATAAGATTAATTTACTATTGTAAAATTTGTCATTTCACACGACATTCCTAATAACTAATTCAGGAATTCTATACAATTCAGGGGCGTCTAGGGAATGTATGAAATATTACGACTATGATCGTCCATTACATACTTTGTGTAGGTATAATAAGGCATACAACTCCTACGGATTGTATAGAGTATGTCTAGGCTGTGCCTCTACATTAAATGGCAGACGAATAAAATTAATGCTCCGCTAGCGAGCCGGTCGGAATTAGGTCGGCATGTGACGTCATCCAGTCACGCCGCTGAGGCAGAATAATTCGACGGATCGAGCAATCCTGTCTACGTATTTAAAATCCTTGGTTACCACCAACATGACACAACTGAAGTAGAAACTACCAAGATTTTGAGGTTATGTCGAAAACAATTTGAATTGTTTTAAATTTATTAATTTACGGGTACGTAATATAAGATTCGTTTTTATAATAATATTTTAACGCAACAATTTCAGACTAGTTGAAATGGAAGCTTTGAAATATTCCGTTGCTTGCACGGCACACAAGAAGTCTTCCCTGGTAAAAGTCCACGATTGTAAAATTTGCCCATACGTTACAACATCGTTTTTTCTGATGATGAACCACACTCGCCGTCATCAGTCACCCTTGACATCTTTTACCTGCGAAAACCCCCTTGATTCTTACCATTGCAAAGACTGCGATTTTCAAACCGATCTAACGTTACTCTTCAAGCAACATATTAAAGACCGTCATGGAATTAAACAAGAAAACGACGACGATTTGATTATGCAACACAACAATCAAAAGCACGTTTGTGGAAAGTGCGGCTTTGAGACGCATTTTTCGCTTAAATGGTTACGTCACATGAAAGAGTGTAAGCGACGTTCTTATAAAACTACAGAAAAATCAGATTGGAAACAGCATATTCAGCGGCATCATGGAGATGAAAAAGACATCAAGTGGTACAAATGTGAAAAGTGCGAATACAAACACAAATATCTCTCATCTTTATACAGACACGTAAAAAAGCGGCATCTAGACAAGTGGCTCCATTGCACTTTGTGTTCTTACAGGACCGTAGACAAATTTGATTTGAAAAAGCACCTTAACAGACGACATGTTGATGACTTTGACCCTAAATGGTACAAATGTGAACAGTGCTCATTTAGATATAAACGCAAGATATATTTGACGAGACACGTGAACTTTTTTCATATGGACGAAAAAGACGCCAAATGGTACGAATGCCAACATTGTCCGTACAAGACTAGTGATAGTTCGAACTTAACGAGACACGTGAAAAGCAAACATTTTAATGGAAAAAGTATCACGTGGTATCAGTGCAACAAATGTTCATTTAAAACAAAACGCGAGGAGGGTTTACAGAAACACGTGGACGCGTCGCGTTTGAACGGACAATGTGAAAACGATGCCAAGTTGTTTCAATGCCATAATTGTCCATACAAGACTAGAAATCGTTCGAACTTCTGGAGACACGTGCAGTTGCAGCATTTGAGAGGGGAAGATGTCACGTGGTATCAGTGCGAGGAGTGTCCATTTAAATCAAAACAGTTGGCGCTTTTACGGAAACACGTGAACTTTTGTCATTTGGACGAAAAGGATATCAAGTGGTACGAATGCCAACATTGTCCATACAAGGCTAAGGATAGTTCGAACTTAATAAGACATGTGAAAAACAAGCATTTTAATGAGAAAAGTATCACGTGGTATCAGTGCAACAAGTGTTCATTTAAAACACATCTCGAGAGGACTTTACAGAAACACGTGGACGCGTCGCGTTTGAACGGACAATGTGAAAGCGATTCCAAGTTGTATGAATGCCATAATTGTCTATACAAGACTAGAAATCGTTCGAACTTCTGGAGACACGTGAAGTTGCAGCATTTGAGAGGGGAAGATGTCACGTGGCATCAGTGCAAGGAGTGTCAATTTAAAACCAAATATAGATACCTTTTACGGAACCACGTGAATGTGCGACATTTGAGAGGGGAAGATATCACGTGGTATCAGTGCGAGGAGTGTCCATTTAAAACCAAATGCAGGAATGGTTTACGGAAACACGTGAATGTGCTGCATTTGAACGGACACGGCCTTAAATGGTACAACTGTGACAAGTGCCAGTACAAAGCTCGGGTTCGCTCATATTTAAACAAACATATAAAGACGCGGCACTTGGACGAAGACGAAATCAAGTGGCACCAGTGCAATGAGTGTCCCTTCAGGAGCAAAGCAAAAAGAAATTTGACAGTACACATTAAGGCACGACATGTGGACGACCAAAACGCGTAATGTTACAAATGCAAACAGTGCCCATTTAAAACTAGGTGTTACAAATCTCTAATCAAACACGCGAACGCTTATCATTTGGACGAAAAGGACCGCAGGTGGTACGAATGCCAACAGAGTGTCATACAAGTCTAGAGATCGTTCGAATTTAAAGAGGCACGTGAGAACCCATCATTTGAATGGGAAAATTATTAGTACATGAACTGTCCACTTAAAACAAAACGAACAAACAAAAATATGAGGTGACGCAACATGCAGTAAAGTAACGCTTAGATGCAAATGATATACTACTTTCAAAATTAACAACAAAAGTAATTTGAATAACCATGTGCGTAATCCGAATTTTACATGTAGTAGTTCAGTTTGTTTTTGTAATGTTCTTTATTAAAATATATATAAACCGCCCTAAAAAACTTAGGGATATTTAAATTTATTCAGCTTAAGCCCATTTCGAAATCCGCCAGTGTATTTTTTGAAGACATTTTTGATTTATAAATTGTTGTTTATAATTTGGAGTAAGTGCTCATTATACTGATGTTAAGGGTGCCCAGTAGCAGACCGAAAAATGAGCTAAATAGAATTTCATTTTACGGGCGTAATTTTAACTTTGAAAAAAAGATCGACATTTCAATTGATAGATTATGTCTAAATCACTGGGGAAGACACAATATTTTCTACAATAAGTGATTGTTTAGTGTTTAATTAATCGTTCATTCTTCGAAGGAAATTGCATTTTTAGACGAGGAGAGAGCATTTTTCGCTTCAACTTTTATATCAGTGCAAAGACAACATTGAGCTCTATGGGGAAGACCCGGCCATTTTTTTTTTTAAATTTATATTTATCAAAATATTTGCTTTTTAAAAGAATACTAAATAATGAAAATAAAGTGAAACTAGGCAACCCTATTTACAAAGATCCGTTTCAATAAATGGCCGAGTTTTACATAGCAGGGAGCCTTGCCGACCGACCCTTCCAGGTAATCAGTTCAGGTACTTTAGGTCATAAAACTCATAAATACTCTTAGCTGACCAACACTGTTGAAATTCTTTTACGTCGACTTCTTTCATTGCTTAGATAATTTGATTTAAAAGTATGCAAATTTTTATAATTTTATACATTCTACTAAAATATTTTCTTTCAAAAAATTATTCAAATATTTTTTATTAATATGTCATTTTATACATATATTAATCAATACACAAAACTGACAAGATTTAGATTCTCATCACTTCACTAACCACTTATTTACCTGAACAATCATATTTATTTAAATTTAATTTTTTGATACTCTTCCGCACCACCTATGAGGTAGAGTATTATAGGCACCTTTTTTACGTGATATCTCCAGTAAACCTATTCCAATATTACTATTTATTTCTGTGTGTGTTTATACCAGAAGGGCAAAAGATTTATATGAACTACACATGACGCGAATGCAAATAAAAAATGTTAATTGTACAATTTTTTCTTTACAATTTGTCTAATGGGTTGACTTGTTTAATAACGAGAATCTACTCTCTCCGGAAGTAAGGTATATATTTAAATAAAATTTTTCTAGGGCTCTATCATATTTTTTTCCCAAAATTTATCATCTCGTTGAATTAAGCATTATTTAAATTGGACATTTTATATATTTCTGCAATAGCGTTTTTGTTTATTAAGCCGTCTGGCGATGCCGCTAAAAATGTACAAACCGCATTGTCTTATTGTCAGTTTGGTGTTACTGCAAAATGCTTCAGTTGCCCTTGCTTCATTTTCTATGTAAAGATTTTGGGAGAGTACATGCTGAACTAGATTTGCAGGGATGTAAAATGCTTTTCACAGTACAGTAGGATTAGCCGTGTTACTTGTTCTCTCATTTTGCAAATTTTACCAAAATAACGTTCGGTTAGTCTAAAGGATTTTTCTGCGCACCATTCTGGATTATTGCGTTCGCCAATTGTGTTTTGTTCGATTAAAAAGACATCAACGTTTGAAAGTTTTTTGAGAAATACTTTTTGCGCTGTGACATATCAGGTATTTCAACTGCCTCGTTAGATACATCGTCGCCCGAGAACTTGTATGATCCACAGACTGGAGCGCGCGCAGGCCAATGTCGACTCTATAAGCCTCCAGAAACTCTGCCGGAAATGGTTATTATTTAGATGCTTTTGTTTACACACGTCTCACATGTTTCACTCGATTTTGACATGCAACTATTTTTTTGTTTAACTAAGAATTATTACTTTCATTGCGTTTGATACTAACGTCCTAAATTAGCAATACTAGTGGAACAGTAATCATGCAATAGATTTTTTTGGGAAAGTACAATTATTTTTATGTTTTAGCAGCAATGTGTTCTACTGTTTTATTTATAAACCACAAGTTCAGGATTATGCTACTAAAAAATTGATAACGAATAAATTCTACAAAAAAATGTGCAAAATATGATGAATTTTTACTTGTAATTTATCATTGCATTCATATTTTTTAGATTTGCTTATATACCTAGGTGGCTCAAAAAAATTAATGAATGAGTCAATTTATTCTATTGATTAAATCAGGAACGACTCACTCGATTTTCCCAGAAATTTTGGGATTACTGTTATTTTTAATCTAATCCACATTGATTTACGTGTCCTTGCAAAATGTTGATGATTTCATAACAAAATTGTGTACTGAAAGTAAAAATTTAACTCGAAAATGGTGGATATGTTTCATTATATTATAGGTGTGAGGGAAGTTCTGTCTAAACAACTTTCCACGAATTTTTTTTTTTTTGCTGTTATATTTGAACATAAACAGTTTATTTTATATATTTTTAAAACATTATAAAGAAAATAAAAAGTTGTATTAGACTGAACCTTGTGGGTTTCTCAATCTATTTTCCGCAGCATTTTAAACTTTCAACTCAATTTCTCTCAAAATACATACAAATGGATTTCGATGGTTAATCCCCTGTACCCTTCATTTGAAAATAAATAAGCTTATCTGGTGTTGTTTACCGATTTGCATTTAATGACAGACTCCCTACAGTGACCATCATCTCTCGTGTTTTTGGGTCGGTACCTGCGATGGGTCGGTACTTTGGGTTGCATAGTTACAAAAAATAATTCTTCTCACTGAAACCGATTTTGCGAGCGGCGACTGGGGACCCTTAAGTTGTTCTTATACATGTATATACAGTAGAACTCTGTTATAACTTCCTTCACATAAAACGAACTCCTGCTTTTAACGAACGGATTTTTTGGTCCCGTCTAAATGCCCATATAAACAATGCATTTTTTAATCGCATACAACGAACACCGGTTTTAACGAACACCGGTTTATAACGTACGAAAATCTATAACCATACTGCTTATAACGAACTGTTGAACATAAGATCGGCCTTAAACTTCCTAGAAACAATTCCAGACGGAACACAACAACAACCGGAATGTAGCAGTCAGTTGTGTTTTAACTTCGTTAAGACAATGACGCTTAATAACAGAAGAAGATTTTTCGTTAACTTTGTCTACAAAATTAGATATACATAATCGAAAAACCAGAAAGAGGTGCCTTTAATGTTGACCTCTGCAAAGAATTTCACCTATCCAAATCCACTGTGTGAACAATATGGGGACAACGTGAAAAGATCCGATCTGCAAACTCTAGTAAGAATTTGAAAAAACTTAAGCGGCTTTGTGATCCGGTGAGGAAAGACATAGATGGTGCTCTTTTAAAATAGTTTAGCCAGCAAAGAGCTTATAATGTTCCAGTAAATGGAGAAGTTCTTCGGCAGAAAGCAAAAGACCTTGCAAAAGTAGCTGACAATTCACTAGGTGAGAAGATTTTCAGAGAGGACTACAGTTGTTACAAATAGGATGTAAAAAACACCACTTACGAGAGTTAAGCATAGCAGACTTTTTCAAAAAATAAAATTACATATTTAAAACTTTTTTTGTGCTGAACAATCTAGTTTATTACATCTTTTTTAAAGTTAGTGTTCAATAGCATATGAAACACAAATTTCTTTGGTTATACTTTTAGTACGTACGATCGTTTATTACGAACACGAATTGTTGTCCGTAGGTCGTTCGTTATATCAGAGTTTTACTGTACATATTTTGCCTTTTTGGGTAATTAATTTGTCCTGTAATTGGAGTTCATTCTGTTGGACAAATCAAGGGTATTATTATTATTATTATTGAAATTAAAAAAATATATATCTTACCCACCTATCTTTTACAGTTTATTTAAGGTGATGTATTCAGTTTTGGAATTCTTGATTTAATCGATACTCATTAATTTTTTTGAGACACCCTGTAGAAGCAAATCTAAAAAATATTAATGCACTAATAAATAACAAGTACTGACTCATTAATTCTTTAGGGGGGATGATCAAATACATTTTGATAAAAAATTTACCATGCCTATGGTAACTGGAAAACATCTCCAAGATTTCAAATCGTTCTGTTTTGTAGTTCCTGATTAAATCAATTAAATAAATTCACCCATGCATTAATTTTTTTTTAGTCACTCTGTATATGCAAATCCAAAAAATATGAATTACAAATACAGACTAATCATATTTTGTACATATTAAGCAAAATTTTGAGATGACGTCATTAATTTTTTAGTGGGGATGAGCCCATATATTTTGATAAAAAATTTTCCATGCTTATGATAACTTTATGATCACCTTAAAACATCTCCAAGATTTCAAAGCATTTGGTTTTGTAGTTTCTGATTTAATCAATCGGGAAGTAAAAATTGAAAAATCGAGATACTTACTGAAAAATCCCAACACTGAAATGTCGAAAAACTCGGAAATCGAAAAACTGAAAAATCGAGAAAAGGAACATACAAATATCGAAAATTGAAAAATTGACAAGAAATTCATAAGTCGTAGAAACGACAAATCGAAGCGTGTAAAATTCAAAAATCAAAAAATTGAAAATCAAATCGTAAATCGAAGAACTGAATAATCGAAAAAATCAAAAAACCGAAAAAATTTAAAATTAAAAAGTCAAGTAAAAAACCAAAAATTGAGAAATCGAGAAATTTAAAATCTAAAATTTAAAAAATCGAAAAATGGAAAATCAGAAAGTCGAAAAACCGAGAAATCAGAAAATCGAAAAATTGAAACATCGAGAAATCGAAGCATCGAAACATAAAAAAAACACAAACAGCCAAAAATCCAAAAGCGAAAAATTGGAGAATAAGAAATTAAAAAAGTTGAAAATTAAAAAAAAATTGAAATATTTAAAGATCAAAAATTTAAAAAAACGAAACATCGAAACGTCAAAAAATCGACAAATCAAAAAGTTTTCAAAATCGATGAATTGAAAAATTGAATAATGTGGAATTTATAATATCGATAAATGGAAAAATCGACAAATTGATTCGAAACTGAAATGTTGAAAAACTGAGAAACTGAAGACTTAATTAAGAAATAAAAAATCGATAAATTGAAAATCCAAAGGTTAAGAAA